ATTTTATTGTTTTATTCTCCGAACTTTGCAATAATTTCAATATTTTTTATTATATACTAAAGATCCTTTATAAAATTCCGACATTTGCATATAAGTTCTTTGCAACATTTGAACAATTGTACGTAAGTAGATTGGAAAGTAGATTGGACGTAAGCAGATATAAATATATTGGAAGCAATTTACAACAATGGGCTTTCTTTGTCTGCAGCATTTGAACATTGCAATTAAGACTGGTTAAAAAATTGGAAGAGATGAATCTGATTTGTAAAAAATTTCTCTATTTGGGATAACTAATCCCAAATAGAGAAAATTTTTTCCCCATACATTCGATTGGAGCATTCACCTATGTAATTGAAATTGTTTCTTGGCTTCTATTATGAACAATCATCCACTACTTCACCTTTTCTTTCTTTTTTATTTATTTATTTCGGATGCGCTTGCTGATAAATCTCATCGTAGCCATTATCATCATCTTATCACTCTGTTACTATCATTTCATTGTTTACAAGACTTTTTATACTTGATGTTCATGTTTTTTGAGCTAAAAAATTTTTCCATTTTTAAAACCATAGTATTTTCAAATTTCGCAAATTTTTTCTCCACACAACAAATTTGAAAACTAAGTTTAAGAATGGATATGAAGTCCGAACAAAAGATTTAATGAAATCATTCAGCATCTATAAATGCAGTTTTTTCTTCTCTTTAATATAGCCTCAATTTTGAAGTTTTCGGAAAATTGAAACGAAATGAAACGAAATTGTCCAAAAAAATATGCCGATGGCTTTGCATAAATTAATTTTCACAATGCAATATAACAGCTAAAATAAAATTATTCAGTATGGAGGATTAAACGGTCATTGTTATCACTGCATTATTACATATGGGCATAGATTATTAATACGGATAGTTTGCTACTCCCATCTGGATAAACATTTATACAGACGATACTTTCACAATTTCAACAGAAGTGACTGGAGCCGTCTATATTAAACGCTCTTCTACGAATTTCACACGATAGGTTCTATTTCATTTATTTCGATAGGGAATGTCAGTTGTTTCAAAGTTTCACATTATGAGAAAGATTTTGGAATTTCCAGCAAACGTGCAAACAAGTACTTTTTTTTCAAAACAAAATTATCTTCTAATCAAATTTGTATGAATAAAGTTTGCGCAAAGTCGTTTGGATGAAAGATGTCACCACGCTGTACTTGCAATAAATGTGCAACTGTTTTCTTTTTCAAGGTTAATATATTTAGAAAAGCATTTACTGGATCTTTACATAATTTCCAAACAAGTGATATTATCCAGTGCATCAGTAAATTTGAATATCTTTCAGAATTGGCAAGGAATTATTCTCTTCAATATGCATTTTATCTGTTTCGCCTTTTTCTTCTTCCAGTTGAGCAACATTCAAATTACTGTAAGTTTATTTAAAGTTAAAAAATACAACATGGTACTGCAATATTCCGAAAATTTCAAAATCCTAATAAAATGTGAGATAGACAATTTCATATTATTTGAGAAAGCGCAAACGGAGCAAACAGAATTGTTGGATTTACCAGTGTCAAAAGTGACTGAGGAAGGGAATGTACCAATAGATTTGCCAATGCAAAGAGTAAGTGGAGAAATAGGAGGATGGTGGTTATTAGTCAACGAAGGGTCTAAGAGATACAGAAAATTAATGAATTTAACAGTCAAAGACGAGATAATGAACGAGAAAGCGTCAGAAAAAGGAACGAATAAAGTATGTAAAGAGGAAAAATAAAGTATGTAGGATAAAGTATGTAAAGAGGAAGAAACAAATTCGAAAAAAGGTGGGACGATTAAAAGGTGGGGCCGTAATAACACATGTTTTTGTCAAATATGCGACAGAACATTTTTTTTTCTCCAAATTATCCACTGTGGAAGCCCATGTGAGGACTCAAACAGGTGTGAATTTGTACAGCTGTCAAATACACAACAGAGCATTTTTTTTTTTCTATATTATCCACTGTGGAAGCCCATATGACAATCATACGGGTGTAAAGTTGTACAGTTGT